ATATATATATATATATATATGACAATGTAACAATGTCATTAAGAGTTACAGAATAAGGACCTTATTGTTGTTTTTAAATGTCAAATTAATATTTTTGAGGTTTATTTACAAGATATCGTGTACTTTCATCAACATTAATTGCTACACCAATTAGATTTGGCGCATCTCTCGAAAGTAAATTCCACAAATTCCACAAAATGGCGCCGTCAGGTTTAGCGGATTTAATCCGCGCGATACGCGGCCTTGCGATACGACGTAATAACTCTACGTCCCGACGACGATGGAACGCAGCTGTAATGGAAGCTGGAATGAGCGCGGGAGTTAGCTTAATTGCGGCTTCGTTAAAGAGTCGGCTAAATGGTAGCGTTTGTTGCGTTTTCAAGGCGGTGGAATAAATGGGGGAGGGGGCGAAAATAAGCAGACACAAAAAAAAACGAGACGAAGATAAGAGACGGAACTGGAGAACACTGCTAGTCTTTTTACGCGGCGATGAAGAAGGGAACAAAAAGTTCAAAGAGGACAGAAACCCCGTGATTAGAGTCCCGAACGTGACGTTGAACCCGTCTCGAACACGACTTCCGGACTCTCTCGAACCGGAATGGAATAAGATTAATACAAGGCGACTCTCTGACCGGCACTACACCTACACACGTGCAAGGTGTATATTTAACTGTGGCATGAGACGAAGGAGCGAGCCTCGAGTTTGCGTCGCACTAAATCGAGATGCCTAGGAATAGCGAAATATTTTTGCCTCATTTTCATTAAATATTCTAAAATACTCAATGATTAAGAAATAAAAAAAAAGCTAATTAAAAAACTAAACGAAATAAGACTGCAGCCTCTGATTCCATCTCTTTTTATCAAAATTACGAAGATTATTCGAAATAGCAATAGAAAAGAAATTTTAAAAAGCAATTAAAGAGTGACATATGACTCCTATCGATTTAATACCGCGACACACATGAAATATTATGAATGAAAAAAAAAGTGGATTGGCTATATAAATTGCCTCAATTATTCAGCCGCCGGATGCTGGTGAATTATGTTTTCTGGAGCTGGACGTCGCGTGAGATATTTTGCATACTCTTGCATAACTAACTCCAATTATATATCGCATCCTCGCCGAGGAAGTTTGACTCGCAGACTCCAGCTCCGCTTGCGAAAGCTCGAATAGCGGCGGCCTCCTAAATTACATCCCGCAGCTTGCGATGATGATTCATCGCCCCTAAACGCGAGCAAACGGGCGTGGGATATCGGCCGCGTTCTGTTTAACATCTCATCAAACAAACCGAGAAACGCTGCAGCCGCCGAAAATCCCTGGTATGCTGTAAATAAGATAATCCCTCACCGAAGTATATTACGAGAGCAAAGAAATAAATTCGGAGATGTGAGTCCGTTATGCAAGCTCATAAAAAAAAAATGTCATAAATTGGAGATAATTACATGCAACCTCTGTACAAACAATTAATAAACATTAGTAAGTTAATGTTGTTGATTTGTTCAACATTTGAAGCTGGCAGATTTTAACAGGATGGAAAGAACTACAAATCGGAGATTAAATGAGTTTATCAATTATATTCAATTATTTGTAAAAGGAAATTTACTAACGAAAAATATAATAATAAAAAAAATTTGAGAAAATTATCATGACTTAAACAAATTAAATCGTTTGAAAACATTCTATAGAAACAATCTAATAGAACGAACAACATATTTTGCGTGCAAATCAGAGAAACTAATTTAACATTCTGACGAAAAGCTGTTTCGCGCAGAAAATAGAAGCCGCTCTCCTCTTTCTTCTCGATGAAACTTTTTCGGCGCAGCACGAATCGAAACGAAAGACGCTACTTCGGCGAAATCTAATGCGATAAAGCAAATGTTTGTTAAAAGCAAAGGAGGGAAGAGGGATCAGATACGTAGTTCTCAGAACAGCGATGTTGATTGGCGGCGAACATGCGCAGGCCAATAAAAATACTCACGGCTACACCGGAGAGAAGAAATTACAAATGATCTCTATCGATAAAAATTATGGGTTACCACCCACAAAGATCTCTTGGTTATTTGTAAATTAAATAAACTATTTTAATTTTACATTTCCTTGTTTTCCATGTAAAAGAAAATGCAAACAACGCGTAAAGTTAAAGAAAATGCATATAGGCCAATAAAAATATTTACTGAGAAATCAGAATTCTAATTAATGCGACCAAATTCTTTTTCCACTGCACTATTTAAACAATAATTTATTAAAATTTAATACATTTTTCTCTCAATGTACGAAGAGAAGAAATGATCTTTATAAATTACCTTTATTAATCAAAATTATACCTACAACCTACAGAGATCTTTTGGTTGTAAATTAATGAAACTGTTTTAATTTTAGATTTTCTTGTTTTTTATATACAAAAAATGCAATCAATGCGTAAAGCAAGAGGGAGATGCGCCGAAAGCACGAGACACGGAAGGCAAGAAATATGAAATAAAAGCTGCAGGCAGACGGGAAAGAGGGGTCGTGTTATAAAATGCAATTAGGTCGCATTACGCGAGAATGACGTGGCGAGATGCGGGGTGAGAGTGAAATTTAATTAAGAGAACCGAACTGGTTTCCGTCGTCGCTGCTGCACGGAACCGGGCCAGTGCACTAATTACGGAGAGGCAACAGAAATGACGCGGGAGTCATCGGTGTTGTCGGGTAGTAAAGTCTTATACGAGAATGAAGTTACATCGATTGAAGTGTAAACATCTGAAGTCTGATTAGATCGTGCGAACATACATAGTCCTCGAGAGAGGAGGAAACCAACGTGTCGACGAGCGATTGCGACAGACGAATGGTGGCGGTGTGGGATGAGATGAAAGTGGAATTAAACAAAACTGTGAATGAAGCGGTTTGCTAACACTAGTGTGGGATGACAGTGGAAACGACGGGATCAAATAAAATTGCGTTAAGATACATAAAAGAGATTATTTCGAATGTCCCCGATGTATCAAGGTAGTTTTCTCGCCGACAAATCAACAAATTGCGAATTTGTGATAAAAATACAAGATAATACAATGCTATCGACTGAAGATAGCTTAAGGATGATAATAATAAATGCGATCAATATTACATGAAACACGATTAAAATAATTTTTTCTATATAAATACTGAACTTCAATCAGAAATCAACGTGCGACGTACGTTCGAAAAAATTAATTACACATCATTATATCACAAGTATTACGACCTGTAATTAAGAACATCGTATATCGTATAAAAACGCATCATCGATAATCAAACAGATATATAAAAAACAACACGTAAATTGTTGGAGTATACATTGCGCAATATATTCACACTGCGCAACCAACAACTTGTTGCTCCCGAATATCCTAGCTCGAGACACGACAAAGTAGTGGTATTCTACATCAAGAATATATTAACTAATTTATTGAAAAATAGAATAAGCAATTTAACGAGACACTGCAGCTTTCAATTATTCGGAAATTTTATCAACATACGTCATAATTATTCTTAGGGAACATTTCTTAATCTTCCATAATATTAGCTCAACAAAGATTTAACATCTCCACAAACATATTCCATTTGATTTTACGACTTACCTGACACTAGAAGCGCTTCTCTGAATGTCCACATTGTTCCTCCTGGCGGCCTCCTCGAGAGTAACGACCTCCTGGCGTCTTCTCTCCTCCTCAGGCGGATGCAACGGTATGATAATATAGTCCGGCTCCTTCTTCTTGGCAATGGACGGCTGTTGTTCCTCCTGCGTTCTCGCCGTCGGTTCGACACCCTTTTTATGCGTCTCCGAACGTGGTACTTTTGTTCGACCGCTGAACCTCAGTCTGGAGAATCTCTGCAGAAAGCCGCCCAAGCCGCCCTTCTTTCTTTCCTCGCTCTTCATGGCGGCGGAGGACGAGGATGTCGGTAGAGAGGTTGAAGAAACCGCGTAGATCTTCGCGGGTTCCCTCTTCGGGGCAACAAACGATGACCGTTTCGCGTCCTGTTTGTTGATGCTCGCCGCGCGTTGCTGCTCGTCGCCCTGACGTTTGTCGCGATCACCACCGCGATGATTCGTATCAACTGCCGCCACGGCCACCGCGAGCTTCCCACTACTACGTTCACCGAGTGAACCCGCATCACCGGGTGGGGACTCGGAGCCAACACCGCGGACACTGTGTCCCTCCTCCTCTACCTCCTTCTTTTCTACCGCCTCCATCCCGTCCCTCTTTTCTTCCTCCATCTCCACTTCTTTCTTCGTCGTCGCTTGCTTCTCGATCACGACCCTCCACAAACGTTCGCCGGCGCCTCGATCGCTCGAACCAGGACTATGGGAACGATCTTCGTGATCTCGATTCGACGATGCGTTCTCCGAGTTCACTTTCAACTCTTGAACTTTGCTCTCGTCCGCCTGAGGAAGCTGTGTCACTCGTTCCGGATAAAACTCACTGATGAAACTCTTCTTTATATCTTCAGTCTCATCTTCTCTTCGTTTGTTGGATAATTCTTCATCGATGTAAGAGGACACCGTCGAAGAATTTTCAAGAACACTTTTCAACTGAGTTGGCTTCTCCAATTCAATCTTCTCGCGCAAAACGACCCTAGTTTCCAAGCAGGATGCTCCTATAGGTTTAGTTTCCAAGCAGGGATAATCTACCTCGTCATCTAGCAGCCGTGGATTCAGCACGCTAGCATCGCCACAAGCCAAAAATGGATCCGAGTTTTTTTTTATCTGACCGAAGAACGAGTCATTCTGCGGCTCGTTCAGCTTAGAGTCTTCGCTGATGTTCGTGTCAGAGCCCATTTGGCGTATCACGTCGGAGACATTTAGCCTTGAGGACCGTCCAGATGCAGCTTCCTCTAATTCGTCGCACGCGTCCATTCGTTGGAACGCCGTTTTTGAGCTCTTCGACGCCTTGATGTAGTCGCATTGTAGCGCCAATTCGTAGCTGGCATTGTTCAACATCCGTCTCTTCCCAGGAGAGCTAGCTCCATCGCAATTTTCATCATTATCTTTGAATTTCCATTGAAAATTTTTCTCATCCATCTCAAGTTGTTGCGCCAGCTCGTAACTAGCGTTGTTCTTCACTCTTCGACTTTTCACTCGACCGGACGGTGTTCGCTGAATTGTCTCCATTGCCAAAATGGCGGCGTTCGTCACTCCGGAAGCGGCCGCCTCCTCTACCTCGCGCTTAAATTGCTTGATGGCTTCGTCGAGGTCGTTCTCTGTCACCATCGCCATATCCAGCACACAGTTGGCGCGATCTTGAGTCTTCACAGTCGATGTCTTCGCTTGTTTGTTGCGCGTCTGCTGCACCTCGCAACGATCGCTCGTGTATTCGACCTTTGTTCGTTCTTCGTTTTCCTTCTCGAGATCCTCCATATTGTCATCCATGAGTGCGCCTTGGGCCGGTTGCGTCCTGACTGAACTGGTTAAGGCAACCTTCGTTCCCACTTGCGTTTCATCGTCCTCTTTTAGGATCATATCTTCTCGTGAGTTCTTCAGAGTCTCAGCCTCGTCACAAGGCGAGGTTTCCGCCATTTCTTGACCGTTCATCTCGTCGTCGCACATAGCGGCGACGCCGCAGAGATTTAGATCCACCGGCACGCTGGCTACCCGTGTGTAGTTCTCAAAGAGAGAAGACGTCGACACGTAAGAGGTCGTCCTCGAGGTGCGAAGACGAGACGGTAAAGTGCAGCTTAGACCGCTGCGTGCTGACTCTTCAACACCGTCGAGTAGACTGGGCGCGCTCTGCGATTTGTCCGTGAATCTAAAATTAAAACGCTCCTCGTCGCTCCACCCTTGGTGTTGCTGTTGGCGGCGACGACGGTGGTGGTGGTGATGATGATCGTGTTGATCGTACTGCTGCTGTTGGTACTGCTGCTGCTGCTGCTGCTGCTGCTGCGGATGCTGATGATGATGATGATGGTGGTGGTGATGGTGATGATGCTCCGCACCGCTGCCGGCTATATTTAACCTAGCCGTCTTTTGGCCGGACTTAAGCTCCAAAAGTGCGTCTTTCTTCGTCTCCACGCCAATCTCCCGCAGGTCGATCGTGTTTCGATAGTCCAAGGACGTCGCATACTTGCCGGATTCACCGTACAACAGCCGATCCTCGAAACCGGTCGTCAACCGGGAATCCGCGTTCGTTCGACTTCGTTCGTACTCCTCGAAATCGTATTCGTCTTCTTCGTCGTCGTCTTCGTCTTCATATTCCTCGTCCTCGTGCCAGAAGTCTCTGTTTATAGATAGACATGGACGAAATATTGAAGAATCTATGTTATTTCTTTCTTTTTTTCTAATCAATACAGATGACGAAATACATTGGAATTTAATATAAACGTAATATAAATATTAATCGTTTATTAAAAATTTTACATTTATAATGTAAGTTCCTAAAAATTGAACCGCATTCTTAAAGGATGCGTATGCAAAATACCACGCACTTAAGAACCAAGCAAACAGCGGTGATCTGGCGATTTGGTAACGCGTTTGTGCTTCAAACGTTTATAATATCGGCAGTAAAGTCAAGGTGGTCTTCCTCAGGGTCGCGATTGCATTTAACTTGGCCGTAAAACGATCGTCACACGAAGGGGAATTCGGCATACGAGTGCCAAGAAAACTATGAAGCATTCAACACCCAACGCGAACGGTTGTTAAACGCATAAACGCACATACATTGTTTAACCCTTTTTTAGATTGGAAACAGAAAAAGCAATTGCATTTTCTGATTATTTAAGTTGTAAAAAAACAATTAATTGGATGTATATGTATATCATCTTCTATAGTTAACTCATTAAGAAAATCACATGTATTAACAGTATTGACTGTTTTAAATTAATTTTTAATATCTTGTTTAAAAGTTTAAAATTTAAATTATATTTTTCATAATAGATTAAAAAAAAATTTTTTTAATAAAAATAATATATTGTTAATAAGAAACATAGATAAAGAAACGTAGATAAAATATTTATTTTACGATTATTCACGATTATATAGAAATGCACTTACCGCCAGTCCTCGCAAACTAATTCGGGAAACAATGCATGATTACAATAGTCTTGTATCTTTATTCTAGCAACGCGTGTAAAAATAGGCGGGCGCGTGTTAAACGGCGAGTGCACGTATGCCAAGAATAACAAATAAAAGCCTTGGTAGCGTCTGTTGGAATTACAACGCGGGTGGACTGACTGTGTTACGTCTGAAATTATTGCACACACAGGGGAAATTTCTCAAGTAATGTAAAATATCCAAACTTGAAAACTCAATGAAAAATATGCAATATTCTATTATCCTTCTTTGAAACTACTGAAAATATACCTTCTACTGCGATAAATTACTGCAATATATTTTTTATGCTTTAAACAGAAATTTTTCTGATGGCTTAAATGTAAGATTTTTCATTTATCAGAAATATAACACACAAAATACATAACACAGCTAGTATAAAACCATCTGGACTAACGAGCATATTATTTAAATCAATATGACGACTTTATACTGAATGCTTATTGGGCCAGACAGTCTTATATTATACTATGTTATGGCATGCATTTTGCGAGTTACAGCCTTTAATCATCACCTTAATGCAAAAAAGCTTTGGACTTAATATGAAAAATGCGTGACCTACCTTGGCTGGTTATTTTTCCTAATATTCGATAAATCAGCACCCTTCTTCAGGTACAAAGGCGCGAAACCATTCGACATGGACGCTTGGCCGAAGCTGTCATCTTTCTGGCACGTGTCCAGACTTTCAAAGCTGCGATAGGGCCTGATTTTCGGGAAATGGTCCGCCAATGTGCTGGCAAAACCATTTGGTAGCAGCCTATCATAGTCCTGTTCCAAGCTATCCGGCGAATCGTTCTCCGGATGAGAGGTGTTCGACCGATTGGAATATTCCAGGGAATCGAAGCTATAGCTAGAAGGTGACAGCGTGGCGCAGGTCCTCTCCAAGGACTCGAATTGCAACAGCGAGCTTGATCTGGAGGAAGCTGTGGACCTGGAGGACCTCGGCGACGCCGGATACTCGTCATAGACCACTTGCTGTTGCTGATGATGATGGTGGTGATGATGATCGGTGCCATGGTCGCGACGGCGTCGCTTTTTCGGTACCACTGAATTGCACTCGCTACCGCTACCATCCAGCCGCTCGTCTTCCGAGAATAAGATGCGATGAAAATGACGCTGATGATAACGGGAGACATGCAAGGACTCGAGAGAATAGAAGCGAGACAAATAAGCAAGCGCATGGCCTAAATCTACTTTACTTGGAATTCAGATCTCGCATGTTACTTTTAATTCAATGAATCTCGTTAGGGTAGATAGACGTGGAATTCGATGCTTGACGATCCACTTCGTAAAATCGAGTCACGGAAGTGATCCAATCTAATGATCGTTATTTTCGCCCCATACACATACATGCATATATACCTACACACGTAGGCATGTCCGTCAGGAAGCCATGGTTCATTCAACCGGAAGCAGCGCTTACGGCATTACGCGCTGATCACCATCGGTTGGCAACCGAGTCGTAATTGTCGCGTGCGACGCGAATCGTGTCGATTATCGTCGATCTAGGTGTAACGTTCAAGGTGCGGTTACATCATCTTGTGGTAATTGGTATACATGAGGAGAATCGTTACTCGTTAAAATTCCGCAATAAATCTTATGGAAAATCAAAATGTACGTTTCGACAGAAGTTAATTACATATTATGTAAATTTGTTCTTAATTAGAATAATAAAGATACAAATTATTTTGATTTTTACACTTTTTTCTAGATATTACTTTAAAGCTTTTATATTTCCTTAATTTTATATCAAATGATTTTTATTATATTAATTTATAAATAAATGTCAGTATGTTTAATTCAATTGTGTTTCAAAAATTTTAATTACGTTATGTCATTGCGGGTAAGAGCCGTTTAATTAAATAATCTAGTAATACTAATTGTAAGTCAATATTGAAACGTCAGTTCGTGTTCACAGTTTGACCTTTAGAACTCTTCGATTAAGGAACACATAAATTAGATAATATCCTGTACACAGCATGTTATTTCGATCGAGCAATACGTACATTTCTCGGCAAACAGTACTGGAAGGAATATTGCATCGGCAGCAAAAGGTCGCGCGTGCTGAGAAATAATACCACTGGTTATATTTGTCATTTCATCGAATTCCAACAGTCTCAAGAAGGATAGAAAGAATAAAAAAGTGTTAGCAAAATTTCGTTCGATGGAATTAAGTATTTTGATATCATCGAGCTATTTAGAATTTATTTGCCCATTCTATTGATTTCAAGTGCCTTTTGTAAACATTTGGTACTTTCAAACACGAAATATCAGCTGTAATAAGAGAACATACATGCCCCTACATACTGCAACCACGTAACACTGCGTGTTACAATGGCTGCGTACTCAAAGGCGTGTTCAAGAGCACGTGGGTGCGATAATATCGACTTGTAATTCATGAGTCTCTTATTTAAGTTAGATTTAAATTAGAAATTAAATTACGTTAACGATAACTTAAGATTAGGAAAATTTAAAATAACATCAATTTTACATAAAAAAAAGTAAAAATGATAATAAAATTCTCGAATTAAATTTCATAATTTTTTTAGTTCGAAAAATTCGTATTATAGTCTCTTGACTGTATAGATTTCTATTTATACTAATAATACATATTAACTTACGATTTATGCGATTTATATTAATGTAGACTTTTCGAAAAAGCAAGAAATAAGGACGAAAAGATATTTTGTTCGGGTAATCGACCTCCTCAATTTCGATGGCGTAAGCGCGAGCAATCGCATGTTCGACGAGTAATTCCCGGTTCCCTAATGAATCTGAAGATTAGGGTGCTGAGAGGAAAGAGAAAGTAGAACAATCGCGCGTAAACAATGCCTAATTCCCGCGATCTTCGCCCCGAGCGACAAACGGGATTTCACAAACACATAGTCTCTTCGACGTACAACTCCGTTGTGTATAATATCGATCAAATGATAGCGATTATATTACTTGTATATCGTGTTAAAAGTAGGAGTTCTTACCTGCCGATCTCTGCTTCGTTTTGATATGAATCACGCTCTCAGTCTCTGAATCGGATCCCAGCCAATACGTCGTTATGCTGCGATCGGAGTCGCTTTGGAGATCGTCGGATGTCTCCTCCAGAATCGTCTCGAGAAAATCGATTTGTTGCACTAGCATCGTATCTGTAAAATAAAGTGTTCACATTAATGTAATGAGCTTGTTAAAAACAAAACTCGTTAAACCTGTGCTATGTAAAAATAAAATAGAAAGACTGAAGAGTTTAATGTAATAAAAAAAAATAAAACTAATTTAAATAAACTGTATTGCCATTTATTGTACTATATAAAAGTAAAAAAGACTTTAAAAAGAGTTTAATATAATGAAAAATTAATTTAGATAATCTGATTTAGATAATTTCTATTAATTGTAACAAAATTTATTGCATCTTGTTTTATAAGTATATATAACTCCTTATACGTAATTAAAGTTAATTAGAAGCTCTGTATTTCCTATATTTTATCAATTAAACTGTACACGGATTATAGGTTTGAGTTAAACGCATTTTCCACGTGTATGTCGTTCTTTCACGTTGATCAACTTCAACGAAGCGTAAAAATGTAAACTCGTTATTTGTGCCTCGTCATTTCATCGTTGAAAGTGCAGCTGCTGCTTGTTCGCAGAAGCGCATAAGCGAAATTCTTAACGAAAGGTCATGACTCATTTCTTATCAACGAGTGAAACCATTACGTTGGAAGATAACGTAACTGGAAGGTCGTCCACCTCTCGAGCTTTCGTCGATCAAAGCCGGCTCGACACATTTCGGGGCTGTATGTGCATTGCTTTCCGAGAACTGTCGTCGTTTCTTGATACGAATCAGCACGCGAAGTCCATTTTTTTCTTTTAAAATTTCAATATACCACATCCTTTTCATAATTTATATAATTTCTAGTCTAATACGATTAAATTTAATGAACGAAATATCATTAAAAAGTATTTAGAGATATCAATTGTCAGAATATTCGATTAATTATCGACATATCTAATCGAAAATCAATTAAATTTCTGTTAAATTTCTTTCAGCTCCAGAGTGGAACGTGTCCAATGATAGCAAAATAAAAATTACTACAAACATTATGGCGATGGATTTAATAATTATCGAATAGCTATCTTAAACGAAAAGCGATGTACTTCGAATGTAGGAACGTAAAGTACGTTCCTGCCTTCGTCATCGTGCGATGAATAATGGCGTGAACAGTTAGACGCAGCTGGGAACGGGACATTGCATAGTTGCACGGATAGAATACATTCGGTACACTCTAGCTGCAAGCGATTGCTTGCTCTCTCATGGAAAAGTCAAACGCTATCTTACCCTTTCATCTTACTGAAATAGTTGCGTAACATTACGCATAAGCGGTTATAACATTTGCATTGTACGCTTCCTCGCGCTCGCATCACGCGATACTGCAATTAAAGAGGAAGATCGTATCCGAATTAGATATATATGTATTTCCGGTCCGTATCTTAACTGATCGATTTCTGCCCTGAAAGAGCAATTTTGCTGAAGAATCTAAATATTTAGCTAGATTCAGATCTGAAAATAATTTTGTTGAATCATCAAAATAATTTGGCAGGAATCTTAAACATGATGAGCAATGCTGCAAAATATTTTGATATTCTGGTAACCAATTTTATCGTCTTACGTATAATTATTTCGACAGTCCAGTAAAATTATTTTTCAGATCTGTATCTAGCTAAATTTTTAGATTCTTCAGCAAATTTGTTCTTTTAGTGTGAAACAAGACGCGAGGAAGCACACGATTGCGAGTGAAAAACAAGGCGAAGCGAATAGTCGAATAGACGAGGGCCGAGGTCGAGGCTTTCCTGAGAGATCGTATTGTAATAGTCCACAAGTGGGCGATGATAATGCTATCAAATAAACTTTGCACATCTGCATCGAGCACGCTTGAATGCGATCCGACAGACTGGCAGTCAGCGTGAGAAATAATGAATGGCATGAGAAGAGTCAGAGTATACTCTTGAGTGAGAAAATGTCTTCGAAATATATCGTCACAGATCAAGCCGAGAGTTTTTTTTAGTATCCATATACTTTATTATACTTAATTATGTTATAACTAAGTTACGTTACGTTCTCGCACGCGCGCAGTCTTGATAAAAAAATATAAATGACCGAGAGGTACTCGAGAGATCAATGGAAAACATTAATCATCATAGTTCGCGCTTGGTTATGTGCGAATCAAAGATTTACGTACGGCTTGATCAGCACGCTCTGAATCACGGATCAACCAATTAATCCCAATAATTATAAAGCCAGTTTATTCAAGTGACGCAACAAGCGTCTGCATGTGGAAGCACCTGATTTCCGCCACACCTTGGATCGTCAGAACAGACACGCTCGGTGACTGATATTACATGCATGCGAGAAATTGCGTTCGCCTGCGTTAAGATAGGATTAATTTCGTCGAAGTGATTGATTTTAATTTAGGTTTATTATTCCTACCAACGCAGATCAGCTTTAATCTCAGTTAAACTTAATTTTTATCTTTTAATTCGAAAAATGAGAAAAAGATAAAAACTAAATTACCTTGAGATTAAAGTTCATCTACGTTGGTAAAAATGGGCCTTAGAGAAAAATTGAATTTATTTCAAATTAGTCTCATTAAATTTTTAAAGAAGAATGATGTCCCCGCGAATTTCATGTTCTGTTATCGATGCTGGGGAATTTTTTCCCATCGTGAACGTTAGATGGAATGGAATAAGATCACGCATATTGATTGTCATTAAGTGGACGTGTTTTTTTGAACTACAAGAGCTCATAGAGCGATTGCGAGAGCGGGTCGTCAGGCCGCTGAAACGCAATTTGTCTTGCACGAGTGCGGAGGCACGCACCAGTATGCAACATCATGGCGGAGCCACCTGTTGCAGTCGCCTGCCTGTTGCCGTTCCATGACTAACGGACGAGAATAAACCGATGTAGCTTACATAAAAATAATCAGCCGGACTAGCGTCTTTCAAGAGGCCTTCTAGCGGAATATAGCGATATTTATGATGCATGAGATCGAATAGGAAGATATCTCTCAGACTTACTTCTTCTTGGCACCAATATGTTTCAGGCTCTTGTCTTCGTTTTAATTATCAAGAGGCAGAACAATTCGCTAAGAAAATTCTTACGTAAGACGAAAAATTAAATTTGATATTAAAATTGAAAATACAAATCTGCAATTTCCGCATTCAGCGTAATGGAATATTCATTTTATCATTACGAATCATATTTTACGGTACAATAATTTTAAGTATATTTTACTTTCTATCTTATAATTAGATATAAAACTTTCTTTATTCCAAACCGGTCTTTCGAATGATAAATAAATTAATCAGAGCGGATAACTTTTCTCGTGCAGTTGTATACTCGACCGATCTCCTTGCTCACTCTCCATTTCTTACTTTATGTTTGTCAGTTTGTTGGCTTGCTAATCGAGTCATGTTAATGTGACAAGAAACTTAAGCTACCCTTCCCATGCTGTATCGATCGGTCATTGTTATTGTTGCCTGATCTAATTATAGAACATCCAAACCGATTACTCAAAATTCTCGAAACTCTTAATACCTTACTACAAGAATAACACCCTGGTTTATCGAACTCAGTCCGATTGCTTATAATTTTCATAAAAATGAACATATTGTAAACAATTTTTTCAATCAAAATGCCAAGCATTAAGAAACATGACGGTACTGGTAAATGTATGTGGCATTATTAATAACAAAAGTTATAAGCAATGGAAGAAACATTGGAAAAGCATCGGAAAAAAGCTGATTACATTGAAAACAAGTTACTCGATCCCTAATACATATTTCTTTGAATAGTACTAAACTTGTAGTAAATAAATGTTTATTCAATAAAAAAAAATGATAGTTAAATCAAATTAATATAATAGTTTTTGTGTTCATATAAATGTATGTTTAGTAAAATATTTACTTAGAACTATTAAAAAAATATTTATTAAAATTTTTATTTTTTTTTTCTATCGGGGACAATGTTTATTCAATAAAAAAAATGATAGTTAAATCAAATTAATAGTTTTTGTGTTCATATAAATGTATGTTTAGTAAATATTTACTTAGAACTATTAAAAAAATATTTATTAAAATTTTTATTTTTTTTTCTATCGGGGGGGGGGGCACATCAGAAAAGAAGGAAATTAATCTTCGTTATAAAAAAATTTCTTTCAAAAATCTAACGTTAGAAATGTGACTGAGAAAGCACGCGGTAAACTGGAGTCGTTGTTTATAAACACGTAAAAAATACGGAGATCATTACTGTCGATTATATTATTGAGACTGTTACTGTCGATTGGCTGTTTTCCGCTCGCGATTTCAAAACGATCGAACCTTGATCACGGGAATAACCGGTTGACATTGGTAGCGTGCTACGTTGGGAAGAAAATTTTTGCATCTCGCTTGCAATGACTTCTCGGAGTCTTCTCAGAACCGCCGCCGCCGCCTCGTCTACTACGCTCTAGATATTGACGACGGAGGCCGAATCATTACCACGATTTCCAGCGGCTAGAAAACAGCTTTGCATACAAATCGCCTGTTAATAGCATGCTGCTTTCTACTGAAACGTGGGTGAGAGGGACGCTGCAAAAAACCGTGATCGAGTTAAAATCGCACGCGTCCTCGGAACTTCCGTAAATGCACCGCTCATATGATCATGTTTATCATCAATCATGCTAATACTGACTTTAATTATATATGCATTAATACGATATACTGTTTAAAATACCGAATGACGTAATAAAGAGTTTTTAAGACTCTTTTTATGTATAACAAATTAGGATACTTGATTTATGTGTATAAAAATATATGATCTTACGTTTTATATAAATAATCATAAATTTTATTTGCTACGAGATGATTCAGATCTTTCGATATTGTATATAGATTTTTATATAAATTTTATAAGTATCGTAAAACATTTCCTTTCCCAAGCTATATACACGAACGTGATTTCGAATTGAAAGGATTAATCGCTTAGCGTGACAAGCCGCGAACGGCGACCTAGATCACTATAATCGCGCTTAGATTTGCGTCAAAGAGTGATCTAACAGTACTCCAAGCTGTTGTTCTACACCCGCTCTCAAATCGGAAATTCACACGAAACAGAGTCTTCCGCGTTCAAGATTTCCTAAGAGATTATTTCTATTCACCGAGGCAAGTAATTGCAAATTACAAATATAAATACAAACGTGATGGCGAGGCGTGATGAATACTTAAGAAACATTATATCTAAATAAATTATCTAAATATATGTTAATTAATACAAATAAAATTTAATGTTTCAAGTTCACACACATTCGTAACGTTGAAACGTATAATGACTAAAATGTCGGACAGTTCTACGTGTTAGGGTATATATTAAACGCGAGAGTACATTGAAAAAAATTTATTAAATCCCAATATATATATATTTTTTAATAGTACAAAGTAAATTTTTACTTACAGTAAGTAAATATTGAATAAATAAAAAAATAATTAAAAGAATGATTTCTGTATCAAATAAAAATATATTTACATTTAATAAATATTTATTTAGAACAATTCAAATAAATATTTATTTATTAAAATTGAGTATTTTCTTCAATATACATTAGATGTTAAGTACAAAGAGAGTGCGCAAGTATAAAAAAAGAACGGGAAAAGAGGGAAGAGAGAGTGGGAATGTTAACGTATACGAACCATTAGCCCGTAGATCCTCCAAGTGCGTCGGCTGGAACTGGGAGTGATGCTGCAGCTGGAAACCGTAGGCCGGAAGCCAGGGATTCGGTCCGTTCACCAGGTCCATGTCGACGGCGGACTCGACGCAGTCCAGGGTCAAGGCCGGATCTTCCTCCTCCTCATCCGTGACGGAGATGACCGCGGAGACGACGGCAACGTTCGTCGGCGCGAGTGTCGCCGTCGCGCTCGACTCGTTCCCGCTCATCGTCACACGACGATTCCTCGCCTCGTCGTCCACGATCGGCACCGACGATCGTTAACCGCTCCGACGAACTGTGAACCCCCTTCTTCCCGCCTCTCCTTCATATCCCTCCGCTACAAATGCAGCACCGGAAGCCGCGCCGCTTCTTTCCGACCGGGGGTATGGCAAACCGACTGACACCGTCAGATTCGGCACGATTTCGGCTTGATCCAGATACGGATGTCGAACCCTCTTCCCTTCAATCTTGCACGCACTGGGGACGACTGAAACGCAAACAGGAAGATTGGCTTAATCGAGAGATTAAGGCTATTTTTAGATTTTTCGGAAATATTGTGGGGGAACACGTTGCCCACGCCGTTTTATTTTATGATTCTTCGAGAAAGAATCTCATACTAATTATGTGGAAAATTGGGTTTACTTAGAACCCGATGAGTTAATTTTTACATATCTATAATACAGCTTATAATGTGACGAACAAAGGATATCTGTTCATGGCCGGACTCTAATGTAGAATCTGTCATAGACACGAAACTCAATAATGGATAATTTCTAAACTATGTACTCGTACATATAAAATGCTCTGCGAGCACAAGTTTTACATCTTTGACACATCATAGCTCAACAACTATATCCATTACCGAGTCTATTCTTTGTGTTTATAATACCTTTGTGTACACAAAAGTGCTTTCTCACGTTCATTTCTACCAATGTAGATTAACTATAATCTCGACTTTAACTTACTTTTTACCTTCTTCATTACATTTTAAGCTTCGTTATATTATAATCTCATTATAAGCCACACTTGAAAAATAATTCATCTCACCTAATTTTCTATATATAATCAGCGCAAGGTTCTTTGGAACAGATTCTTTCTTCGAAAACATTCTCGGAATTTTTGTATATCGCGATATTCTTGAATCAGTACAGTCGTTCAAGACTTCGTGATATCTTCTCGTTCGAATGCCTTGGCCTCTGAACTTTCGAGAGATTTAAGATGTCAGGATCTTTATAAGATCCGCCTAAAGAACGCCAAGACCTCCGCGACGTCTAAGAATGTTAAGACTTCTACATCCTTGACTTCCTTGAACCCCGAGGGGGCCCTCAAACTTTCTCCGATGGACTGGGATATGGACGGGAAGGAATTCGCAATGGAATCCGTTCGCGATTCATCCAACCGGGTGGGATCGCGAGTACTCCGATCGTACTCGAGAGATGAAAGGGAGATACGTACCGCGATAGGGGCACGCCTTAACGAGCGTGTGTACCCTGGGCGGGCGTTAAATATTGCCGCGAGTTGCGGATTTACATGACACGTCGGCGAAGGGGAATCTCCTCCATGCAGGTGGGAGTTACGTTTGTGTGTAATTGGATAAAGATCGGCTGAGGTCATCGCCCTTACCTCCCCTTCCGTTGCCCCTTTCCTCGCGATTCCACGGGCGGCAGAAATTTTATTACCGCCGTATTTCTTTCGGCGAGGCAGACCGACCGGCTTAAGGCTGATGCATACGGTGCGCTCTCAATCATCTTCCCCGATAAATCATCATAAACGAACACCGAAGAAGAGCTTGAAAAATATATGAGAAAGAATTGAGGCTAGTTATAAACTACCGCTGAGAGTAGAAACTAAAACAAATTTAGGAAAATTGCCAATATATTTCCTTGCCTAAAGCCTCGTATCCACCATGCTGGAAATTCTCGTGGAAATTACTCCGAGATCTCGGACAGAGAAAGAATTAATAAATAACATTCGAACAATTTGACTAAGGGACCGACATGATTGATCAATTCTTTTCCCATTTGAGACCCTGAAGAGATTTCTAGCATCATATAAACACAAATTAAGTCTAACCCTCCGACAACATAAATTTTAACTTTTCCATTCAACGATAGGGATGTTCAAGAAATAAATTTGTTTATTATTTTGGATTAGGGTAAACTCGGGTATGATGGCCATAGTTTTTTAAAATGCAAAAAGCATACATTTATTCTTGTTACTTTTTAACAATATTTGGGATATTACTTTCACTGAAGCTTAAAGTAACAAATGCTATCGAAATTAAAGAGAAAATACTTAACAGAACTTTAATTTTATCAACAAAGATAGCCATAATATTTATAAATAAATAGTGAAAATAAAAGTATTAATTATAGGTCACATTACAATTTACGTACCTTTATTGTGTATGTAATGTTGATTATGGCAGCTTAACTATAATTTATTAGACATTATAACAGTTTTTAGCAGACACGTGCAAAACTTTGCAGATAGTCGAAAGAAAAAATATTAGATAATATTTATAATATTGTTATTTTGAACAGTGTACTCATATGAACTATTGTAAATATTGATTATCTTTAAGAATGACTATAAAAATGCACTATTTATCAATTATTGGAGAAATTATGGCCTATGGCCATAATACCCTAGTTCACCCTATGTAAAAGTCTGAAAAAATTTTGATATATTTATTAAAACTTCAGCAACAAGTGTTTATCATCATGGAAACTGGATTGTGTTTTACTTATTTTTTACGGATTTAAATTTATCTATCAAAATTCACAATCAAAATATCGACGGTGCCTTTAAAGATACTGTTATAGTTAGCAGAGGGTTAATATTAATGTGATGTCGGATGATATTTAATTTTCTGAGATAATACAGGATAAGTTTCGTAGTGATGCATCCGCAAGTATAGGTAGAAAATTTCTCGATCTCATCGCAGGAAATTGCTACTTGGTACACGTGCACATAGCTACGGCAATCATCGAGAGCGAGGTAAACAGTGCAAAGAAAATTCCTGTCGATCCGTCTCTCCGCTTCCTCCATCCAAGCAAGAAGCGCAACGAGGCGCGAGAAAGAGTGCGATCGCCAAGTGCACTCCCGATCGAGATAATCGCTATCGCCGTTCACACGGAACGCGCTCCAACAACGTCCTTGGAGAATTATTTCAAAAGCGTGGAAAGTATTCGCGATCGCAAAGGAGAACCGGAAACCATTCGCCGATAAAAGAGCAAAGGACACATGACTCATTTTGTATATTATTAGAAAACTACGTCATTCCATTTTTCAATATTTCAAACGCAGCCAAGAACGCGTCGCCAAGTATATCTTTCTTTACTTTCTTTTTTCGTCTCCATTTCCATCAATGTGGATTAACTTCAATCTCGGTTCAATTTACTCTTCACCTTTTCCTAATGCTCGTTCTAATCGACATAGTTTAATTTTAATTTCAACTCGTTCTGTATCTTTTTTTAATTTTTAAAACTAGAAAAAAATTAAAAATTGGACTGAAATTAAAGTTAATTTACGTTGATAAAAACGAACACAATTCTTAGAATTTAAAAAAAGATGAAGAATAAAGACTGAGACAATTGAAAAATATAGGAACAGGATCTAACAGTTCTTTCAGTCTATCCGAAAAGACTTTTGACAACTTTGAAGATTCGAAACTTAAAAGAATTCAAATTTTCAAAATTAGCTCCAAACTTTTGAAGTTCAATGTGCTTCGTAATTCGAAGCTTGGAAACATTTTAAATTCCGAAGTTAACTTCAAAAATTCGAATTTTTTCAAAGCTTCAGATCTCGAAGTTGTCAAAAATAATAGCCCTATTAGAAACCTTGTATTCTGATGTAGGATGAAATGTTATTTTCTGTTCCTATTGGTCATGTTTTTCAATTGTGTTTCAGGTTTAAGTTAAATCGAGATTAAAGTTAATCTCCATTGGTATAAACAACACTGAAAAAAAATGTTCTGATTAAACCAATAAAAGAGCCCAACAAGAATAACATTTTAGTGAAAACAAACAAAATTTCTGGTTATTAGAGAACCAGAAATTCTGTCCTCGATCTTACTATAAGAGACCATTCTCGTTCGATCATTTTATCGACTTAATCGGAGCATTTTCCACAGGGAGACATTTATTGTTTACTATCGATCAACAGAGTTGAACTTAATCTTCTTTCAAGCGTCGCGATTGTTCTAATCAGTCACTTGCTCCAATCGTGCGTGTTATCGGAGCTTAGGAGATGCAGCGGAGCGTGTATATCGATCGAATATCGACCGTTCGCCACGGCGATACTGGCGATAGATCGCGTCGCGAAAAAAAATCGCGGCCGCGAGACAGGCAACTCCGAACTGCATCGGGCTCTCTCCGTTGCACCTTACGCATCACCGTGTATTTACGGCACGGGTCTGGCTACACGCGGACACTTTCACTTTACGTAACTTTATTCACGGCGACTAAGGGCGACGAACTTTGACTGCCTCGTACCGAAATCCTTCTTGAACGTTCAAGAAATTTCCGATGTTAACGAAATCTCTCGTGCAGCTTTAAATCGGAATCCACAGAAATGAACGAGGGTTTCCTCAAAGTCCCTCGACGATTTAGGATATATCAATTTTACAAGAGGCTTGAGAAAGAACCTGAAAAATAAAAAATTCGAGATCGATAGCCCTAGGGTTTAAAACACTTTAACGTATTCAAAGACTCGAAAAAAATTCGAGAATTACAGATTCACAAACAATTCACAGGAGTCCCAAATGACCCCGAGGGAAACAAAATGCGAGATACAGGGAAAAATAGATAACTGTCATCGCTGAGAGAAAAGGAGAGGCATAGATAGGACGCGTAAACAGACACAATCGTACAGTACGAGAAGGAGAGAGAAAGACGGCGTGTTCGCGCGTGTGCGAGAGAGAGAGAGAGAGAGAGAGAAAATTAATATTAAGCGCTCTGAGATACAATCCTCTCAAGTGTACAACAATTTACAAAAAGATATAAAAAATAACTATGTATAAAGTAAAACGAGATTTTAACTTGATGTAAGGTACATGTGCAGTGTAAGTTGAGTGTGAATATGCGCGTGTATAAGAAAGAGAGAGGAAGAGAGAGGGAGAGAGGAGGGAAAAAAAAGAGACGGAGGACGCTGAGCGCGACGTAGAGGAGGATAGAGAGAGGGCATGCACCGCACTCGGCAGTCTCGGCACTCCGGTGACTCCGGAATTCTGTCGGAGTCGGAGTGCGGCGGCGCGGAGAGTATATCTACCTGTCAGCGTGCATTCCACGATCCCACGATCCGCATGTGTTGTCGGCTCGGCGTGCACGTTTCCGTTTCGCCGAGCGTAACTCCCCGTTGTGTTCGCCGACACTACCGCGCACTCGCACTCGTTACCGCTCATACACACTCATTTACGTTAGGGCGCAACACACTCGCGGCACTCACCAGCACTCTCCACACGTCGTCTCACAGTCGCACACTCGACCCTTTGTCGCGCGTCGTAGCCCACAGCGAGCAACGTTAGAGGCAACCTGAAGCAACCGGTGACGCGCGCGAATATGGCGCGCGCGCACACACTGATCACTGTCGATCCGCAACTTGCAACTGGAAGTTGGATCGCACACGCTCGGAGCAAAACGCGAAACGAGAAACGTGGCTACGTGAGAATACTCCGAGGAAGATCGGCGCAATATCGAACGCGCGATTTCTTTCCCCTCGCGAAGCGACTCGCCACTTTGCTTGTCCCGTATTTCGCTTCGTATATCGCGTTGCCGCTTTTTGTTTTTGTTCCGCGATGCGAGATGACGGCGAGCGTGCACGTACGCGCGCACAGTCACTCCAGACCGGACCGGAACGAGACACGACTACTCGGCTTTAAGCACCGCGGGGTAAATACTACTACAACGAAACGCGCCGCTCCAGCCGCGGCACAGCCGTTGCCGGCCAATCCCCACCCGAGCCGCGCCACCACGTGATGGGCGAGCGGCCAATCGCGCGCCGCGGAGTCCCTCAATGGCGACGTACGTGAAGCCATCTGTCGATTCGATCGGACTCGGGCGAATTCGGCCGCTCGATTTCGATCGATCGGTCGGTCGTTCGATCGCCTTTGAAAATCAATCCTTCCTTTCAATTTCTCCTCGCGATTGATCGCGATGAATAAACAAATGTACGGATACATGGTTCTTTCAATATTCAACGATCTTGATTATCTAGAAAATCCCTAAACATTCCAGTAAACACCAATAAACAATAATATATAAGATCAACGTTATAATTTCACTCAACGCTGTAACTGTTATGTATTACTCTTTAAAATTTAAAATGAATCTTACTTTGAAGAGTAAAATGTCGTTCTTAAAAATTGAAAATTGGGCTACTCTTTTTCACAGCTACTTCAATTTTCACTAAGGCACTTCTATCACTTCTACCAATGTTATTTAATTTTAAACTTGGTTCAACTAATTCTTCATTTTTTTATAATCCTAAGAAATAGAACAAATGAAGAACAAGTTAAACCGAGATTAAATTAATCTACATTGATAGAAATGAAAATAATTCACTTTTTGGAGCGAGATATTTCACTTCAAAGAATTAAAAAAAAAAAGAGTACAACATATATTATATTTATATTATATTATATTAAGTGCGCAATTATAATATTAATGTTATGTTAGTTGGAGTTTATACTTCACGTTTTACTGGAATTTTTATTAACATTTGTATCACCTTTATACGCGATCCGCAGACACGTTCCGAGGTCGATTTCAAACAAACGCGCACCACACTTACGCGACTGGAATTGTTAACGAGCCGCTTTCATGTTGCTTCTAATGAGATTCAATGGCGCATTGGTATCCCACTGCCAGTTGTCCGAATGAATCATCCACTCGTTACATCATTATTTACTTAACTCTTTAAATTGAACACGTTCCGGACTAATTAGTTCTTAAGATAACATTTATTTTTGAAATAATCAATTTCTTGATGTCACTTACATTTGTGTCACGTTTTGAGGAGATGGTATATAGTACATACATACATCGATCGTCGATCGATCGTTCGCCACGCGATGCCCCGCGGCGATAGTTTAAAACGTAACGTAAGGAGAACTTGATTCCGCATGACCGTGAATTTTTTTGATATTCGGTGTCGGTGACCTGGCTCAGAAAAGAAACCAATCCCGTTATGCATTCGTGCCGTTCACTCGAAATGCCATGATTATTCGGGCCGAATTTTGAAACTGTTAAAGCTATCGATTATTGAACTCTCTTGATATTTTCATTGTTTACCTCGTCTCATCTTAAGACGTCAAACCATCTTAAGAGAGTTCAATATTCAAGATTTGTTTAAGTCAACATCTGCGTAGAATTAATTTCTATTGTAGGGATATATTATACAGGTTGTTTTCTAATATACAGTGTTGAAAATCTATAGTTTATGCTGCCATACGCAGACCATAAAATTTCAGTATTAGATCTAAATTATAAATTCACCAAGTGTATTAAAAATTTAATAAATAAAAAATGTGGGCTATGGAATAATTCCCTTCACCACGGGAGGCAGGTTTCCGCAAACGGAAGTGAGCTGAATTCTAAAGAAGTGAAATATTTTTTTATACATGTTAATCTTTGCAGAAAAGCCACTAGTGACATTGAAATAATGTCATATTTTGAGGCAAAAAATATAATGAAATAATTCAAATAATGAAATATAATAATTTATTAAAGAAAAAGCTGCAAGATTTTCAAAATACCTTTAAAGATTAATTCATTTAGTTAGAATAATTTTTTTTAATTTGTTCTTATTTTGAATCACCACGGCCTGTGAAAATCTATATCATCTGTTCGTACAGCAAAAGGAAATGTTTCGCAGCCTATACATTTTTTACTAAAAATTTTTGCTTGGTGTAATTTAGATATGTCATAATATATGCTTAAAATAAAAAACTAATTCTACGCAGTAGTTGACTTTAAAAACGTTTTGAATTTTATGTAACACAATGGACGACGTTTTATGAATAACTCAAACAAAACAAAAGACTCTTGAAAATTTATAGAAATTTATTATGACGCGCATTGCACATGATTACTCTCATTTGCTATAGAATACGTCCAAGCGTTTCTGTTTTGCTCACATCCACATTATCATACTTCTTATTTGATATCACTTTGTAAAAGATAGGAAGTAAAGTACGACTGCTGGCTGTAATGCTTCCGTTACTTAGAAAGGAGATAGGGAACCATTAAGATTAGAAATTGGAAGCTATAGAATATGTTGTAAATGCTTTTTCTTCGTAATAGATGCCGGATTTCTTAAGCAAGCAGAAGAATCAGTAAACTCGCACTAAAGACTTTTGTGGTGAGTATCACTTGACGTTCGCTATATTGGATATCTTGAGAAGCGACATTTCTCACCTCAGTCTCTGAAAAATTTTTATTTACAATCACATGAGACCAGCAATAAATTTAGCCAAAGCTTGTCGATTGAAAATTGAATTAAGCTAAACAATATATTTTGCAGAATTTCGATTTAATTGTTTTAACGATTTTTATTTCCGAAAATTATACGAAATCTCGAGATGTCTGTCCTAGAGAGAAAAAAAAAGAGAAGAAAATGCGTTGCTCTTCTCGTCTTGACGCGTCCTCACCGTATTCGTAATATTGCGACGGTTCCGTCGACTCCTCCTCGCACTCCTCGGTAGCCGATTTGATCCTCATATCATCTTGTCTTTCACGTTCACCAGCCTCATCCCTGAGCGGCACATAACCGGATCTCACAACGCGATTCCTGGCGGCGATCGCAACCTAAAAAACGTGACAAGAGTTTCGTTCTTCAACACTAACCATAATCGTAGACCTCCTTGGGTTCCTCGTTCACCGTTTCTTCCTCATCCTGCTCCGCGGTCTCTTCGTCGGCGTCTTCGTCATCGAGCTTATCCTCCTCGTTCTGATTTTCTTCCTCTTCCTCTTCTTCTTCCTCGTTCTCATCTTCATCGTTCTTCACTGACGAACGATAAAGTCTGCTCTCGTCGAGATTATTTCGAGGCTGGTGATGTCCTCGTGCGATGTTATAGTCATGGCTGCGATATACCTGCTTGGCCCTACGCGGATGTTCGAGAAGACGACGTTGCGGTGGCTGCATGAATCCCCCGTAAAAAAGGGGCTCTATATGTAATGCGCATCCGTGGATATCTTTCATAATTACGTCCGAAGCGGGCGATCTCGGAAAGTCCCAATAATCAAAACCGTCGCCGGCAGTACGAATACCCGATAGAATTAGAAGTACGGATAAAAGAGCGGACATAAACATAGCCCGAGTCTTATCATCATCGACCATTGCACAGCAACGTGAACATATACGCGATTAGATCAATTGCACGAAATCGAATACAATCGCTCAAAGTAATTTTGTCATAGACCTATCTTCGACACGAATAAAAATATACACTCTTGTATGTACCGTACAAATAACTAGGAATATTTTATTTCTTCTATAATACTGTATCTTATAAAATATATTTTATATTTTTTGCAATTATATAGAAAAAGTATTTAAATTCGCGATGACAGAATTTTCTTAAATATAATAAAAGTAATAATTTTTAAATCAACATAAATATGGAGGTATATATACTGCATAGATCACAATGTCAGAACGACACTGACTTAAATCTATATAATTCATACTGGTGCAACCCACCACAGGACATCTGTGAATGCAAACATAAATGCTATAGTAGCATATCTCAATATTTAACATGGTATGAGAAACATACCTAGTGTTCTTGTTCTTTTGTAACATCGCGACAAGGCTTGCTTTATCGTATATATGACCGCAGACTGCATTTCTCACAGGATCGGTCATTCTTATCTTCGAGATTGGATCGATCACGTTTATTTCGCTGCCTGTCAACCGTAGATCAGCGTCTGTGTCATCCGGTGTGTTAGATTCAGCTTCATTGGCTAAAAAATATGTGTTAATCTCAGAAAGAAATACATAAAGATAAACCTCAAGTGATTAACACTAAAATTTTATAAACAACAGTGTCAGCATCCTTATATTATTATTGTGCAGGTATTATATATAGAGTGATTAATTTTAATATTAACAAATAAATATTTCGAAAATATACAATTTTACTAAAAAGAAAAACATTCCAAATAAAAGTTATGTGATACAAAGGAATACATACAAATGATGTCCTCCTTTATACAACTTTTATTTAAAATGTTTTTTAAAATTACATATTTTTGAAATATTTGTGTATTAAGATTAAAATGAATTACCATATATGGTAAAAAAAGCTGCACAATATCAATGTAATGATACCGAAATTGTTGTTAAATACAAAATTCCAGTGCTAAGATCTTTCATTTCAAACTTTACCTTGACACAGGCCTTCAATCTGACGATCATACTCCAACAGTCTGTTGTCTTGCAATGGATTAATTTGAATTTCAGATATAGCCTTCTTATATTCCTGTTATAAACAATAGCAAGCAATTGTAAATTTTGGAAATCAAACAAATAATTTTGTTATTTGAAGCGGTCATTACTGTTGTGATATTTTTCACATCTGCTTCTGAGTCAAACTCAGACATACATTCTAGACGCTCTTTGATCTCATTTGCAGCCTTTATTCTCGCAGACTCCATACAATTGGCTATTAAGGCTTCTCGTAACTGCTTCAATATCTTTTGTCTCTCTTCTTCATTGTCTGAAAATATAAGATAAAATTTACACAACATATTTTATTTTCTTGCGGGAAAGAGAGAGCAAAATCACAATAAGTAAAGCACGTTGTATCTCTAATTTTCTATGCTTGAAATGAAACTCGAACGCAAAAAAAAATAAAAAAAATTCGGAGGAGCACTTGGAAAATTCTGTTCTAACCTCAACGAAATCTCGCTATAGTATTTCACGTTCTTCGCCGTTCTTACAAAATAATCAAGTCAAGTTTCTATCTTGAACAATACGCTAACATAAGAGACGAGCAAGGAAAACACAAAAACGCGAAAAGAAGCACTTAAAAGATTTCGAACATATTTCTAACCTCGCTAAACCCTTACCGTAGTATTTTATAATGTTCCCCGCCGTTCTCAAGAAACAATCATCAAGTTCCTCTATCATTTGCCTGTTCTGTGTCATTTTCGTGCGATTTATTTATTCTGTTGATGATATCGGTGCCAGTATTGTCGAATTTCTACCAATTTTCAGCATTCAACCTGTCTTTGAACTAAACAGATTATCGAACTAACGCCATTTAACGAACATTTTTAAATGCACATTTTGGGATCAAAACGAATATTTTAATGTTTGAAAAAAAGAAAATTAAGACTAAATAGTAAAAAATATTTAGAGATAAAAAAATTCATATTTTTTGTAGATTCCATTTTGTATCCTTATCAGTCGTATGGAATGAGATTCTCGGAAAAATATATATCTTATGTAATGAAATTCTGAGAAAAATATATATGTATTGACTATACAATTTGCTCATGCTTATAATAATCATTTGTATATATACCTTTCAAATTTTTGCGTATTCTCAAAATTTGAAGTATGATAATAAGGCCCTGCGCACAATGGAGGAAATATTTGGAACAGGAATAGATATTAAGATTTTAACCTACCAGATACCAGTTACACCGGAATATACGGTTTCTGATAGGTTGAAATCTTAATATCTATTCCTGTTCCTAATACTTCCTCCATTGTGCGCAGGGCCTAACCGGTATTCATAGTCGATTTTTATTTCAAGACCGTCTTAAATAATGTCATAAGACGCTAGTGCAGCCCTCTGATTGGTTCCTGACTTCTTAAGACAGTACTTAAGACGGTCTTGAATATAAGATCTAACTATGAATCGGCCAATGTTGTTGATATGTGGGCAACAATTTAATCGTAAATGCATTAAGAAACTACTACAAGTAACAAGAAATTTTCCAAAATTCAGGACAGATAAATAGTTATAGCCCTTCTACAATAAGCCGCAAGTCAGAAGTTCCGAGCGATCTTAAGTCATAATCGGTGAAGTTGGCCAATAATCAACTTGAATGACTTGGTTAAGACTGGTTAAGACTTCTGACGTTCTGACTTGCGGCTTATTGTAGAAGGCCCATTACACTTTGAAAGATCTAACTGTTGTAAATATTTACATCTAGGTGCTAAATAATACAACACCTTGGGATCGATTCTGTATCTTCAAACAAGGTGAAAATTACAAGTGAGCAAATTTACTAGGTGTTGACCAATGAAATTATCAGTATTCTAGTAAATTCGCTCACTTTTGTAATTTTCACCTTGTTTGAAGATACAGAATCGACCCCCTTATCTGGAGACACTGCTCCAAGCAAGAGTCTGTGCTGCGGCCTTAAGCCCTTCACACATGAAATGCATAACAGAACATAAGCATAACATAAGACTGCTGGACCAATGATCATCTACCATAATGTCGCCATATTGATTTACATAAGATGCTTATTGGTCCAGTAGTCTTATAGCGTTTTCGGCCCGATCGGGTTTGCACCAACCTGGGTTGGATTAATCTTTTCTATTGGTTGATGTCACACGCTCTACCAATAGGAGAGCGCAAAACGTCAGATTTACATAAGCTCATTGGTCCAGCAGTCTTACGTTATGCTTATAGGCCTTCTATTCAATAAGTCGCAAGTCAGAACGTCAGAAGTCTTAGGGCCACTTTCACTATCGTCGGTTTATTTAACCAGCCCAGTAACTGTAATGAAATAGAAAGAGATATGTTATGCTTATAGGCCTTCTACAATAAGTCGCAAGTCAGAACGTCAGAAGTCTTAAGGCCACTTTCACTATCGTCGGTTTATTTAACCAGCCCAGTAACTGTAATGAAATAGAAAGAGATGGAATGATTTCTATCTCTTTCTATTTCATTATAGTTACTAGGCTGGTTAAGTTAGGCTGGATCCTCATACAGACACCGGCGCTTTGACACAGAGCACTGATTGGTGAAAAGCCGGTTGTGGGGGTAAAATTTACTCCCACCACCCGTTTTTCACCAATCAGCGTTCGGTGTGAAAGCGCTGTTGCCCGTATGAGGATCCGGGCTAAACTGAGCTTGGTGCAAATGGCCCTTAACCAGTCTTAACCAAGTTGTTCAAGTTGGCTATTGGCCAACTTCACCGATTATGACTTAAGATCGCTTAGAACTTCTGACTTGCGGTTTAG